AATTGGAAAACAAAAATATCAAAATATGATATCATTGCCCCCAGCCACCAAAAAAGACATAGGCCTTTTCATAAATCTTGAACTCAGTTCAAAGATTTTATCTGCCTAACAACAGCTGCCATTGCTTAAGACTAATCTTTCTTCAATATTTTGGCTATGCTTGTTCAGTATTCTGAAGATTTTAAGCTAACATACTTGGAAGACTCCAAGTTAAAAATAGAATAGAATTATTTATTGGCCAATTTGATTGGACACACAAGGAATTTGTCTCCAGTGCATAATCTTTCAGTGTACATACAAGCAACAAGTGATAAATCATGATCATAAACCTAACATACTGTACACTCATCATAAATCATAAGATATAGCACTCAGTGATAGTCATAGGATATTAATTAAGCAATCAACATAAATCATAGGATACTCAATAAAAACAATGCACATAAATCATAAGATACAACAGTTATAAGGAGCTAAGGAAATAGGTAAAAGCAAAGATGAGAAGGATAATAGTAATATAGCCCTACTAGGTAGTTTGACATTCCAGGGCTGAAGACAGTGTTGTGGGAATTTGTTGTTTAGCAAAGTGATGGTAGGAGGAGGAAAAATGTCCCCGTATGTAGTTGTTTTGGCATGCAATGCTTGGTAACATTGTCTTGAGGGAAGTTGAAATAATTTGTGACCAAAATGTGTTGGTTTGTTGATATTTTCACAGATCTCTTTCTAGCTTGAAGATACAGATCTTCAATGGAAGGCAGGCTGGTTGCAATTGTTTTTTCAGCAGTCCTATCAATTGAAGTCTGTGCCTGTCTTGTTCGGTTGCTGTACCAAACCAAACAGTTATAAAAGGTGTAAATGACAAAGTCAATAATTCCTTTGTAGGACTTGTATCAGCAGCTTTCTGAGCTTTCTGAGTTGGCTCAGAAAGAACATTCTTTGTTGTGCCTTGATGTTAGGTGTCCATTTCAAGTCTTGAAATATTACAGAACCTAGAAACTTGAAGGTCTCTATTGTGGATACTACCGTGTTTCTCATATAATAAGGCCAGGTCTTTTTTTTTTTTTGAGCCCCGAAAAAATAGCTAGGCTGTCTTTTCGGGGGTGACTTAATCCTCCCCCTTGCATCCTCGGGCAGGCAGGTGGCGACGGCTTGGATGTTGACCTCGGTGTTGGTGGGGCACTTTGTATCGGGAGACCTTCCGTCACCATTGCTTTCCCTTCTCCCCATGCTGCCGCGGCATTTAGACCAACACTGTGGTGTTTGGCGCAGCCATGCAGCATTTGGCGCAGCCATGCGGGGCCGGCCAGGGCTCCTTCCTGCAACCAGAGCCCGGCAGAGACACTCGACTTCAGGCGTTCCTGTTGCCGCCTTCCCGGGCATCGTTCGAAGACAAAGCCCATTCTTTTAAAAATGACACCCTACTATCGGTACGACAAAGCCTGCCCTGCCCAAGAGGGCAGCCCAACCCCACATGGGAGGCGAATCTCCCGGGGCCACAGTGCAGGATCAGCCCACCCCAGGAGAAGTGCCCAGCTGCCATCCCTGCCTGGTGCCAGTCAGAGCGCAAAGAGCTTCGCCTGGGCGCTCAGCACAGCTGACAGGTGGGCCCTTCTGTCCGGCGGCAGAGCTCTGGCCAAAGTAGCAAGCGCTTCCCCGCCAGACCCTCCACTCATCCCACCAGGGCTGCGCTGGAGCCGGGCAGGGTTGGCAGAGCCGGGAAAGCGAGCCGCTGGTGCGCACCCGCCTGCCAAGCGAAAGAACTGGGCTGACTCGAGCTCGGCTTCCTCCCATGTCCCTCCAGCCCAACCCCGAAGGAACCACTGGGTGAGGCTGCCCAAGACAGTGATAGCGCTCACCCATCCATGGACAGGGAGGCAAGGCGACAGCCCGCGCCAAGTCCTCCTCCGAGTTGAACCCCGAGTGAGCGCCTCTGCCCAATGCCCATGCCGCTGCAGCATATGGAGCTGCCGATGAGTTTGGAGATGCGTGGGGACAGAGACGGGCTGGTTGAGGGGTGGAAAGGACGGGCGGCTTTGGGCTCTCTCCGCTGGACCTGCCGTCCAGGGAAGCTGCACCTGAAGTCAGGAGTCTCCACCAGGCTCCGGTTGCAGGGAGGAGCCCTGGCTGGCCACGCGTGGCTGCGCCAAACGCCGCGTGGCTGCGCCAAACACTGTGGCGTTGCTCCAAATGCCGCGGCAAGCCCCCCCGCCATTCCCCCCCATTTCGCATATTTTAATATAGGCCTTAATTTGGGGGGAGGGGCTTAATTTCATTTCATGCCTATAAAACATCCTGGGACTTCCTATTGGGGGAGGCCGTATTGTTGGAGAAACAGTATGTTGTCTAGTAAAATAAGAGGTGGTAGAATAGGAGGGCTTTTCCTAAAATTTACTATCGTTTCTACAGTTTGGAGTGTGTTCAGTCAATTGTTCCAGCTGTACCACACCAGTTGATCAACTTCCTGTCTGTTTGCAGATTCGTCATCATCTCAAATGAGACCAATCACTGTTGCATCATCTGCAAACATAGTACTTTAACAGAGGTTTGATATTCAGTCATTGGTATCAATAGAAAAGAGTAGTGGAGAGAGCACACTGCTGTGGGAGACCCCTGTGATAATTGTACAAGTATCTGACGTGATTTTACCTGGCTTTACCTGCTGACTCCTAAGCTTATGATTCACTTACAAGTGTGGTCAGGCACATCTAGCTCAGTTTAGTGAAAATAATATGTGGAAATATGGTATTGAATGCCAAGCTGAAGTCTATAAAAAGGACCCTTGTATAGTAGGTTCTTGGAGATTCAAGATGTTGTAAGATGTAGTGCAGTGCCATCTTAACAGCATCATCTGATCTATTTGCTTGATAGGCCAATTACAAGGGGTTTAACAGCAGGTTGTGATGGTTTTCAGGTGGGCCAGCACTCCAAGTTAAGAACTTGTTTCTATCATAGAACCACACCAACCTTTTTCAGCTGATTTCAAACTATGGTAGTGCTGTTTTTCTCTTGCCAAACAACAAACTAGAAAACATACCTACAATATTTGAGACATTGTCTTCCTCCGAAGATGGCTTGCTTGATGCTTGGAGCCATCATTAAATATGAAAGAAAATTGTCCAGGACCATCTGCTCAATCCAGACTATAGCTGCAATTTGCCTAGTTAAGAAGATTGTTTGCAGCATATATACATTCTTGATTCATCATGAATCAAAGGAAATTATTGGAGACATAATACTTCACTCATTATCTTCTGGATAACATTTTCCATTAAAACAACCAAACACAGTATTCAGCTTCCTACAGGACTTGTTTTATGAAACCCAAAAGATTTATTATAGTACTGTATAGCTTTTGTGGATGGCAAATGGCAGATGCCAGAAATACAACACTGATCATTCACAAAATAATAATTTCAGGACACTGAGTAAGATCCTGATGCTCAGAATGAAAACTAAATCCTTCAGATGAATTCACCATTTCTTATTCTCTTGATTTCCTGGATCTAACTCCAGTGGTCAGTAGATTTCATATGTAAATCAGCAAGATTTACTTGCTTTTACTTGCCAGAACTTGCTTTTCTTTCCCAGTTTGTAACAACTTTCTGAACAGCACTGGACTAGGCACTCTCATAAGGCCTTTCTCAAGACAACAGTGTCTGCTGGGGGTGAAAGGTAGACAACAGTGATAAGATGGTGAAGAGAACATTGTGCTGAAAAGGCTGAGCTTTTTTTTAACGTATGCTAAAGTCATTCTTTCTGCCTTCTTGCCAATTTTGGCTGCCACAGTGTATGCTATTGGCACTAGTCTTGACTTTTAAATAGGTCCTTTAGATAATAGTAATTTGGTCACTCATAAAAAGGAAATCAAATGCATGACTATAGGAGGAAAGGTACTAGGGCCACAAACTACTACCTTGGAATTTATGGTTTAAATCAATGGCCCCCAACCTTTTGGGCACTAGAGACTGGTTCCATGGAGAGGGTTTTTTTTTTCCTGCGGACCAGAGAGGGTGTGGTTTTGCATCCTGCCTGCATCCTGTGGATGGGGCTTTGCTTGTTTGTGTGGATGGGTTGCTGACATGCTGCAGACTGGTGCTGGTCCATGGGACACAAATTGCGGACCCGTGGTTTAGACCTTCTTAACCTTCATTTAACGTTAGGGCTGGAGAAATCTGGGACTTGAAGTTCACACATCCTTAAAGTTGCTGAAGTTGAGAAACACTGATTTAGACTCTGGTGCTTTTCAGGCCAGGCAGAGCAACTTAAAATATAGCCTCTACCATGATTTCAAAATTTTGGGTTCCCCACACCATTGACGTCCATGAAAAGGAACATGGAGAGAAACGTTATTGTGGGTATCATTCCACCTCCAGCACCAGCTTCTGGAAACCAACAAGATATAGCCACCAGAGAGCGCACATTCTGGTTACTGCGCATGTAGACTCACGAAATGCGGTCCCCTTCGGGAGCTTGGTGGAGGCGCGCCGGGCGCCTAATTTCCAAGGTTGGAGCTGCTCCGAGGCTGCCGGCTCGATTTGCACGTTAAACCTTACAATAAAGAGCAAGCGGGGGAGGAAAGACCCACCGGTTTAGAATCCGAAGGGCCCCGTTAAAAGCAACCCCGATGGAAGTAAAAGATTGCACGTATAAATCCATCGCGCTTGGAGACTTGGAGAACTGAAGACTCGCCGCAGGTTCTGATCAATTTTAAAACGGGAGGCAAGAGGAAGGGTGGTGGGAAGGATCTCCCTTGCATCTTTTTGTGGTGGCTTCGTATTATTGATACCGGGAGAATCTCCGACCAATGGGCGGAAGGATGGCTTCCGTCGTGGGCGGGCTTTAAGAATGGCCTCGAGTAGGCGCACGAATTCAAGGGGCTTCTGCCCAATGTCCTTGCAAACGAGGACGCATAGAGTGGCGGAGCTGTCAGTCTTCATCCCTCGGACGATCTTCTTCCCAGTCCATTGGAAAAACGATGCCCATGTTGGCAGAAGGGGGCTTGGCTTATTGCATTGGCATCACCTTGCTTTGTCTGAGAGAGTTTGCAGCTGAGGCTTCAGGATGGAGAGGTAAATGTTGTTTGCATCTCTCTGCAAAGCTAATATTAGAGCTCCTAATTGACTGGCATCCGATCTATTCAACTAGAGCAGCTTAACGATGAGTGTAAATATCCTCAGCATTGGAAAATAATCTTTATATTTTCTTTAAATGGTACCATTATTTTTTTTAAAGGGGGGAGGGTATTTAGCGGGAAATAAATGTCCTCAGTTCTAGGGAATGGAACCGGTATGATATGTAAGCATTTCTGGCAAGAGGAAAAATGAGGTGTATGGTTAGTTTTCATAACTGCATGAGAATTTGTGCATAAATAACAGGTCTAAATCAGATTGAACAGGGGAGCAGAATTGTTATTCCTCGTCTCCCTGTTCTGCTTTTATTGCTACTGTAATTGTTCTGGTCCCAAGAAGGTTTAATTCAGAAGCAGTGCATTGTTTGCGAAAAGATGTTCTACAGGTATGCCCAGGAGAAATGGAACTGCTGAATTTTTTTTTTCCAAAACAACACCCACAACCTTGTGTCAGCAGAACCCTGTGGGATAACTTACAGCAGCTATAATTAAGAATCACAGCCTCCTGTTGGACTAAGTGTAGAAGTTTTTAATTTTAGGTTAATTGGAAAAGTATGAGTACTCTTCAAAGAACCAACACAGGGTCTTAAAATGCCAACAGTGTACCTATGATGTTTGAAAAATATGCTCCAAAATGAACAGATCCATACAGTAGGTGAGTTAAATAATGAAATGAATAAAGTGAATAATCCATACAGTAGGTTTTCTCCTTGGTTGGAGAAAGAGGAGAGAGCAGCTTGCCTGCTGTGATAGACAAGCCACTTCACTCTGGTCATTGCTGTCCATGGTCATTTTTTAAATCCCTCTCCTCCCTTGAGTTTTCAGACAAATCAAATGGAGAAGTGTTCTGCCTCTTCCCTCTTTAGCCTAAACTTGACAGGAAGAATTATACATACAACAGTGCTTCTTTTCCAGCGTGTCCATCATGGGTCCCATCAGATAAGAAAGTGTCAAATATGTAAGGAAATCCGTTCTGGGAGGGCATGGGGCACTGGAAGAAAGGAGGGATCCTACAAATGATCTAAGCCAAATGTCCTGAAAGCTATCCAGCCATAGATGGGAGCGGAAAAGCAGCAGAAGAATCTACCAATCAGGGCAGTGGAAAACATGGTCCCCACACAGAAGCTCAGACCATCACTGGACAAAAAATAAGAAGTGGTTGAAAGCCAGAAAGGAATTCCTTGAGCCAGTGTGGTTTCCAGCTGGTTTATGCACAGCAATTGAACAAGTTAAGGCTGCAATACGGAAAAAGCCGGTATCAGTTATGAACACTTCCCTTATTTGTTTATAACCTTCCTTTATTATTTTTATAACTAACTCAAGGTGCCAAACATACCGAATAAACCTTCCTCTTCCAATTTTCTCCATAACAATAACCGTATGAGGTGGCTTGGGCTGAGAGAGAGTGACTAGTCCAAAGTCACCAGTCAGCTTTCATGCCTAAGGCAGGTTTCTATGCCAACACATTAACCGTTAGACCAAATCTATATTGCTGCTTCAGGAGGTCAGGGTAGGGTATAACTAGTGTCAATGGAAGAAATAATAGAGCAAGACAAAATACAGTTAAAAATGATGGAAGCTTAAGATAGAAATTATATTATTTGGATAATATAGAGGTTAAAAGTAGTAACACCTAGAACTTTAGAGAGAAAAAAATAAGATAATAGAGCTTAAATCAAAAATAGGATAAAGAATAAAGTATATGAGGGAATACATTTGCTTCATCAGAAAACTCGTGTCATCTTTCTTGTATTTACTTAAGTGAAGTAAATAACTTTCTTTTTTGAACATTTTAATAATAAAAGACTCTTAAATGTAGACATTGTTTCACCTCCTGCCTGAATCTGTTTACCACCCCCAAATTGAATTAACAATGACTAAAGGGCTTATGCTTTATGTCAGGGATCCCCAACCCCTCTGCTGGGCCATGAGCTATTTAGAACCAGGCCGCAGAAGCAGCCATGCACGGATTCCCACTTGTACAAGCAGCGAGTGAGTGTGTGCACATGCCATTCATTTGCTTGATTGGTGGGCGCACTTCACAGGCACTTGTGTGGAACTATCCCTCCTCCTCCGCCAGTTCACAAAGCCAGAAAGGTTGGGGAACTCTGCTTTATGTAGGATAATACTTACGTTCCCTTGCTCTCAACAGTCACCCACAAAACATGGAGACAAAAGAAAGGCTCTACTTTGGGGCAGCCTTTTTAAAAATGGTTCCTAGACCTTGATTGACACACCAATGCCATCCTTCCTCCCCCAATAATTGTTTATGGCCTATATAATAACGAGCACATAGCTGAGCAGCAGCTTCCCTGCTCTCTTTCTGTGAAACATCTCTGATCAATTTGGAAATAATGATAGTTATAAATAGCGTTACACATAACTTCAAAAAGAACAATTCCTCTTTCTGATGAAACAACAACTGGTGACCAAAGATGAATATTCTTTTTTTGTATCTGGAGATCAGGCAGTGTTTCACAACTTAGAGGAAAACAAGTATAGGTGTGATCAATGGTTGAGGGAACTAGGTATGTCTAGCCGATTAAAGAGAAGAATTAGAGACATAACTATCTTCTAGTATTTGAGGGCTATCACAGGGGACTGACTTTTTTCTCTGAAGCACTTGAGGGCAGGACAGGAAATAACAGGTGGAAGCTTATTAAAGAGAGATCCAATACAGAAATAAGGAGAAATTTTCTGACAGTGAGAACAATTAATCAATGGAATAGTTTGCCTCCCAGAGTTATGGGTGCTCACTGGAGGTTTTCAAGAATAGGCTGGACAACCATTTTTTGGGATAGTGTAAGGTCTCCTGACTTGAGTGAGGGTTGGACTAGATGATCTCTGAGATGTCTGCCAGCCCTATGATTCTAAGCTGTATGTTCTATATTCTAAAGGGGTTTGTTAATGGGAAAGTTGAATAAAGATGAAACTTACTTTTCCAAGAGGAGAAAATGAAATCTGGGGTGTGCATTTTGAGAGGGCGCTTATAAAACCGAAGCGAACAGACAAGCAGAGATTGGAAGGAATGGCATATCCCCAAAGACCACCAACATCCATTCAGCCTATGAGCCATTGGTCAACAGGAAGGTGGGATGATCCCAAAATCTAAATCTGATGCCTCCAAGGGTAAAGAGAAAACCAACCTAAATAAAACCACAAAAGCCATAAATTTTAACAGAATGGGAGGGACAGGACCCAGTGACTACGAAGGAAAACAAGAACATAGGGACAGAGCTGCCTAACACAAGTGGTAGGGGATTAAACTAGAAATAGGTCAGAGATCTTTTCCAGTTTAAACTGAGTATTAGATGATTTAGTGTTATAAATCCAGAAGGAGCAGTTGAAAAAAGTCAAGCAAACAAACTTAGTTCTGCTTCTAAATTAGTCTACCATGAATGTTTATGGGGATTGTCAATCATCCAGGTAATGGTTGTCCTAAAGGTGCTTTTACAAAAGGCAACTGGATTTTCTTGTTTTTTTTTCTTATCCGACAAACTTCCAAGAACTGAATTAACAAAGAACTGAAGAAGCTTCCTGGATGAGAATCAAAACATTTTCAAAGAAAAAAAACACCCAAGAATGTTCAGTTGTCTTTTGAAAAAAGCAGCTTTGGGACAGGCCAGGATGATAGCAGTATTCCAATATCTAAGGGGTTGCCCTAAAGAAGAGATGTCCAAAGTACCTGAAGGCAGGACAAAAAGCAATGGATGGAAACTAACCAAGGAGAGAAGCAACCTAGAACCAAGGATAAATTTTCTGATGGTTAGAACAATTAATCAGTGGAACGACTTGCCCTCAGAAGTTGTGGATGCTCCAACCCTGGAAGTTTTAAAGCAGAGATTGGACAACCATTTGTCTGAAATGGTATAGGGTTTCTTGCCTGAGTAGGAGGTTGGACTAGAAGATCTCCAAGGTCCCTTCCAACTCTGTTATTCTGTTCTGTTCTGAGTTTCTATAACTGTTTATTTCTCCAATATTTTAAAGTATGCAACGCAGTCAGATGATTTCTGTTGCAAGGCATATCTCAATAAATAAGATGATATTACCATTAAATTAAAGACAGAATATTTGGAAAACAATAGATGGGGCTTTTCTAAAAATAAAGGAAAGGAAGTAAGAAATATCCAGTGATAAAAGTTGTTGCTGTCTTAATGGATTATGAATTATGAGGGGTTTTTTTCTCCCTCTGATGACTTTTATAAGTTCATAACAGATCTTTGAACAATTCCTTATGTTTCTCCAGCAATGAGGAATACAGTCACTCCCCAGATGCCCCATGAAATTGTAATCCCTCAGTGGAGAGCGGATGCAAACTCAGGCAACGACAAGGTAGGTTGCTAAATTACAATTGCTAGCAAAGTTTTTTTTTCCTGATTATTCTTCCAGATAGTTATTCTTTATCTGCTCATGGCAAGAATGGTTTGCTTGTGGCTGATTGCTCAGCAGCTCAGCGAAGAATCCAAAACAACGTAGTTTGCATGTGTTTGTGTACGTGTGTATGAGAGAGAAAAGATGTAGCTTTTTGAAGCAATATATGGGAAGAAAATTACAATTAAAGTTAAAATGAGTACTCCATTTTGAGATTTGAATGCCTTGATACTAATAATCTCCTCTTCTACAGAAGGAATCAATCTTTGCCAAAACCTATCTAAAATGTTAAGCATTTGTCCCTCTCACAGGTTTGTTCTAGGGAAGAGGGATTAAAAAAACTCAAGATGATAGCTGAAAATTTCCAATTAAAGCCCCTCCTTTTTTTTACATCCCTTGTCCATGTGACACATATAAAGAAAAAGGAGGTTGCTCATGCAGGTCCTTTCCGATGGATGTCCCTGCTGCTTCTCTTAGAAGCAAATATCAGATTCAGCTGAATCCAAAGTGAGTTGAATTGGAAAAGTTCAGAAGTTGTCTGGATCCAAGCAAAGCTTTTGTAGATAAGATTGAACCTAAATCCTTTGTTAACGATGTGGAGGAACAGGAAATATATAAAAAGAGCTGATCTGCTTTTCTTCCTGTTCTTAAACTAAGAAAAGGACCAGCCTGCAGAGCTTTCCCAAAGGAGCTAGCTGACTTTAAACAGTTAAATCATTCATTGTCATTCACCAATTGCTGCACTTAGTTTCTGAAATTTAGCAAAATATTATCCCGATTACCAGTGGAAAGAGTAGTTAACATGTTGGAGTAAGAGTGGGAAACCTGCTGAGTATCCTCGTGCCAGTTCCCCCCTCCCCTCAGTCCTAGACAGAAGGCAAGAGCAAACCACTTCCAAAAACGTTATCGAAAACCCCTCAGTGGACTTGTCTGTGTAGTTGCCAGAAGTCTGACTGATGAGAAGATCAAAAACGAAAAAAAGAAGAAAAGAAACAGTGAAAATAAGAGAAAGGGAAGAAAAAGCACACCAATTCTTTCCAACTGTAAAGGCACTCTTGTACAAAAAAATTTAAGCCCAGTGAGGCAAATTTGACCCCCTCATAAGTAGTCAACATGCTGACAAATCTAACTCAAATCTGCTGCGAAACCATTAAAATAAATGGCTGTTCTGTATAAAAATAAAAATACAAAGTGTAAATAAACCTGGTATATTGATATACCGGATACCTGATATGTACATATACGTATACATACATACATACATACATACATACATACATACATACATACATATTATTTATTCATTTGTATCCCATCCTTATTATTTTTTACAAATCAGGCAGATAACACATTCAACACTCGTTAGTTCTCCTATTTCACTTAAATGTGGCAAAGAAATGGGCAAAACTTACTTAACAACTGTATTCCTTAGAAACAGAAATTTTGGGCTCAGTTGTGATCATAAGACAAGGATCACCTGTATCTTTACTGGAACCAACTGGTTATACTTGTTTTTTCCATATTTATGAGATATTTCTAGCAAATACGCATAGCTGCTATTATGCAAATGAAAATATTTTTTAAAAATGGGAAGCCGTTTGTTAATAAATGTCTTGCATCACTTTCTGCTTTGTTCCTCTTGTTACTTCCTCTTGCTTTACCTGGAATAATTTGTGAAAATGCTTCGCTCAGAGTATCATATTAGTTTTAATAGTAGTAGAGCTTCCGATGTGGAGGTCATTTCACAGTATGCTAAAGGTTCCGAATAGAAAAATGAAATTATCAGTCTTTGGCACATAAAAGACCATAATTCATATACACGCTTCCTCTTGTGAATCATTCATTTTTGTTGTGGATAAAAGAGGAAATATGCAATATATTACCACAGTGTTAGATGGATTGACTCTGAATTGCTCAAATTGCCACAAAAAGATAAAATTGCCTTTAAATTGTTAAAATCTCTTCCAAGAACACTAAAAATGTGTGAGGCTTTATGTATGTAGCTGATATACATCACATCATTGACATTGTGAAGGTATTATTATTTTAAATGTTCTTCAGGCAAGCCCCCCCCCCCATTTCTATATATATTTAAATTGTATTTAACAAAGGTAAAACAAGACATTGATGATAATGCCATAAATAAATTACAGGTAATCCTTGATTTACAACAATACAGTTATAATGTTACAATGGCACTGAAAAAAGTGACTTATGACGGTTTTTCATACTTATGACTGTTGCAAAATCTCCATCTATAATCACGTCATCAAAATTCAGATGCTTGGCAACTGACTTATATTTATAATGGTTGCGGTGCCTTGGGTTCACCTGATCAGCTTTTGCGACCTCCTGACAAGCAAAGTCAACGGGGAAAACAGATTCACTTAAAAACTGTGTTACTAATTTAACTGCAGTGATTCACTTAGCAACTGTGGCAAGAAAACGGGGAAACTTAACAAATGTTTCACATAGAGACAGAAATTTTAAGATCAATTGTGGTTGTAAGTTATTGAAAATTGACAATTGTGTCAACTTACAAAGTTTTGTTTAGTGACCCTTCAAGGTTACAACGGCATTGAAAAACATGATTTACGACTGGTTCTTATACTTACAACTGTCACAGTATTCCCTCCAGACACATGATAAAAATTTGGGCCCTTGGAAACTGGTGTCAGCATTCCAGAAAACCTCCACTCCAACAAATAACTCTGAGACAGATATCTTCTCAAAAGTTCTGTTTAATTGGATAGTAAACTGGCACATCCAAGATTCTTGATCCAAGATGGCACCATCGATGGCTGCCTTGATGAAATGCTCTCCAATGGTTTCTTCATTTGTATCCTTACGATCTATATTGACTGTTTCCTAGTATGATTTGATTGCTTATTGTACCCTATGACTATTATTAAGTGTTGTATGATTCTAGACTCTTGACGAATGTATCTTTTCTTTTATGTATACTGAGAGTATTTGCACCAAGACAAATTCCTTATGAGTCCAATCACACTTGGCCAATAAAGAATTCTGTTCTGTTCTGAATAGATTCTATTCTATTCTATTCTATTCTATTCTATTCTATTCTATTCTATTCTATTCTATTCTATTCTATTCTATTCACACCTGGGGAATCCTGAATCTGAAAGTTCCGAGCTTCCTTGCAATAAGTAAAACCTACAAATCCACCCGTGCACCCATCATCACCAATACATGCCCCAATCACCATCTGTCACAATGTGAGACTTCCCCTCACTTATGCGCAGAAACATGACCTTGACTTAGAAAAAGGATGTTATTATGTCTAACTGCATACACTCCAAGAAATTCCCTCCTCCCATTTTCCCAGGCTCAAAATGTGGCAGTGTGGAAGCATTTGGTCTCAATATGGCTTTCAGAGCTGACCACTGGCATGTATTTATGACAGTCGCATTGTCCCAGGTTCACATGATCACCATTTGCAACCTTGCCAGCTGGCTTCTCACAAGCAAAGTCAATGGGGAAAGCTAGATTTGCTTCAGAGTGGTTCAGTTAACTGCAATGATTCACCTAACCAATGGCAAAAAGGTTGTAACATCAGGCCCAATTCACTTAACCTCTTTGCTTAGCAACTTAGAAATTCTAGTCCCAATAGTATCATAAGTTGAGGACTACCTCTATTGGTAGATCCAGACTTGGGTCCAGTGGGGACATTGTTTCTTATGCCTAGTTCAGGACCATTAAAGAATCCCTGAAAACATAAAATTCATGTGGGTGCAGTTTAGTTGGTCATATTGCTTTTTCCAATTATTATGTATTTATTGCTTTACTTGATAAACCTCTTTGCATATTTGTGCATACAATTTTTTTGACATCTAATCCCGTTAGTAAAGTGAGGGCCCAGAGCCACAGTGGTGCAGTGGTTAGAGTGCAGTGCTGCAGGCTACTTCTGCTGTCTGCCTGCATTTGGCAGTTTGGTCTCACCAGGCTCAAGGTTGACTCAGCCTTCCATCCTTCCGAGGTGGGTAAAATGAGGATCCAGATTGTTGGGGACAATATTATGCTGACTGTGTAAACCACTTAGAGAGGGCTGAAAAGCACTCTAAAGTGGTATATAAGTCTTAAGTGCTGTTGCTATACGTAATGATAACTGTTGGCTCTTGCTTAAGGAACTGTTGTATATTGTAAGACTCAGATAGTATGAATTAGTAGTACTGATTGGATTTAACCTCTCCTCGTTTTCTATTGCTCCAGGCCTCGGGCCAATGTTGAGAATTCTTTTAGTCCCTACCCAGTTATTTCCTACAGAAAAACAAAACCCAGTGCAGGGAGCAGGGTGATATGAAATCACTCAGTCGTGGGCCTTTGCTGTTCTGACTGTATGGTAGCACCAGCTGAATTACAGTGAAAACAAGCAGAATGTTATTTCCTTTTCTGTGCATGAGGCAGTATGCTTTGGTTCAAACATCCTTCATTTGTGACGAAATCTTGCAGAGTAAAGGATGGGGAGGATGTTGTAGCCTTGTGCCTCATGCAGGAAAGAGTATTGTTATTCTGTTTTTGTTTTTCTTGAGTTCAGTGTCGTTTCATAGATTGCCTAACAAAGGCATGGCATAGAGAACTGTCAAGCTGGGAACTCTGTCCACCTCTTTATCCTGGGTGTAAGCTGGACATCTGTGCAGCCTGATTAACTTAAAGGAAGAAAAGTTATGCTGAATTTATCCAATGGAGAGTGAGAGCTAGTGCTGTTAATCTGCAGATTCAGCATTTATTACCTTCTCCTTCAACTTGATCATATTTTTAGCATTGTCCATGAATTTGACTGACTGTAAACTGAAAAATCCTGAGAGGAAAAAGTCCTAAAACCAAGAGTTCTTCCAGGGCATTAATTTGAGGAGTCCAAAGGCATTGTAATGTGCTTTCTTTCATTCTACGGTAACCACTGTACTGATTTATATTCCCTTGCTTCAGTTAAATCCCAAAAGAAGGAATAACTTCTGTGGACCTATGGCATCTTGGGAACCATGAATTGAGACAATCTGCCATTGAAAAATGTAAAGATCATAACTAGGGAAAGAACAGCAACAGCAAAGAGACATAAATACTCTTTAAAATGAAGTAGAACACATAAACATCGTTTATGAAGGCAGAGGTACTTCCAAGGAATTGGAAGTGTTTGACATTGGCACAATATTAATGAAAATAACCAAACAGTCTAAAAAAAAATAGAGGTTAAATAAAAAGAATAGAGAGAAACTAAAAGTGTCAATGAATATTCTAGTTTATCCAATTACTAACCAATATTACCCAATTACTAAACAATATTCTAGTTGATCCAAACAGAGGAGGCCTCCTCTGACAAAAACAAAAAAACTGAAGGCTCTGTAGGTGGAAAGGATTGTGGCATTGTAATAATTTGAGGAATGTAGGGAACAAAACTTTAAAATTAAAATGGACATTTTCTTTCATAGTTAATGAAATTGTGTATATTCGATGACATCACAGAGAGCTGGCAGGGTTTAGTGATCTAAGACTTCAAGGCTGGACTAGGACTGTGGAAGTCCAAACAGTTGTCCACCCTCAATCAAAGAAGCCCTCTAGGAGCTTTCAGGTCAACTCACTTAGCCCAACCTGCCTCACATGGTTATAGTTGTGAAATAAAAAGGAGACTACCACCCGAAATTCCTGGAGAAAAGACAAGATATAAATCTAACAAATAAAGAATAAACAAATAATGGATGGATGGAGTCAGCATCATTTAATAGTACACCGAGTCATAAAAATTTATGCTTGGACTCTACCTAAAGTACAGTATATTTTCTTTACATTTTAGTGAATGAATGAATCTGTAATTATATTTAGGCAGCTGTTGTATTGTATGTCATATCTATATCTACGTTTGACCACAGGAAGTATGGTTTTAATGTGATGTTATCTGAGAGAACAGGGCCAGGTTTTTGGATTGTTTTGAGATTGGAAGCTTAAAAGTAAAATGGGTGTGGTGGATTAATAATCTATTTAAGGTTTTAATTTTCATAAAAACCACAAAACTAATGCTACAGAAAACAAGTGATTTGCTCTTAACTTTTAACAGTGTTAACCTCTATGAATGGTGAAAAATGAGCTGGGGGACTGCATGTAGGCTTCATGAAGAGAGAAGTAATAATTTAATATTGTAAAGAGGACCTAATATATGATGGTTAGAAAACACGTATCTATTAAGGTCTATTGTATCTATTAAGGATGCAGAACCATGGCCCTTGTGGACTTCAACTCCCAGAATTCCTGAGCCAGCCACAAGTCATAAAAGGGCCATGGTTCCTCATCTCTGACCTAGATAGACTATGTTCCCAGTATCCTGTCACAGATATCAGGGAAGAAAAGAGAATATAGAATACAGTGGACAGATGGTTATGCAAAACTATGAAGATGATAGCAATTATTTAATGATATAATTTGGGTTGCAGGAGCCCAACTTGCCAGTTTCCTTTCTGTTCATTGACAATTTTAATTCATTATATCCAATACATATGCTGGCAAGGATATGCAGGGGAAGGAGACAATGGCTTGTTATTTTGTTCATGTTTATTGCAATGCCTATATTTGGTTCCTCAGCTCATAGTTGACAGTCACACAAAAGTTCATTCTAATTGGCCAACTTCCCCACAGATGTAGCAAGAACTGTTACCTTCTTATTCAGAATCTGCTTCCAGTAACTGTCACAACATGTGTCCACATTAATTTCCCTTTAAGCTAGGTTATTTTTCCTATATAGCTGGTCATGTTGTATGTCCATGTACTGAGATTGTTTTTTAATATTATTATACCACTTGAGCATTAGATGAGACAGCAGGGAAGAAAAAATCAGTTTTGGGCAAGATTAGAAAAAGCCACATTTTTTTCTGGCAATATAATTTTTAAATTAAGATACTTCATCTGTAGAAATATTGGTAGCAATTAGTGAAAAGGATTTTTTTTCAAATGGCAAAAACTGAAGCTAAGATGTTTTAATGGGCTTTTGAAGATCTGAGTGGTATGCCAAGGAAAGATTATAACAAATGTGGTTGAAAATACTTGGTGATATTTCAAGAGTCCCCTTGTACAAGGGCATTTGGTTTGGCTTCTTTTTCCCGAAGCCACTGATTCATCAATCTGGTATTAATCAGGAAAATAGATAGAATAACTTTTTGTCACTTTGAAGGTAGATTGGTACACATGCAGAATCATAGTGTTGAAGGGGGCCACTTAGATTATCATGTCCTACCCTCTACTCAGAACAATCCAGATTAAAATATCTCCAACAGATAATATCAAGTTTGCATTTGAACACATCTGGTGAAGAAGAATTTCCACTTCTCTGGCTGATTGTTTCCGCTGTCAAAATGCTTGTAAAGTTAAGAAGGTTTTCATCATATTTAGTAAGAAACTGTCTTGCTGCAATTAGCATGGCTGTGAAGGTGTGTGTATTCAGTACAATTGAGCTGGAATGCAGGAGCTGAATTTTAATTCAATGTTCATCAGTGTTGACTCCAAAAATCAGCTTTTCAATGTTTTTCCTCTCTTTTTATTATAGTTCAATGTACCATTTGCAAGCACAGTGTAGATTAATGGATCTGAAGCATAGTATCAACTGATCAAGAAATTTATATCAACAGAAGTAAGGGACAGTATGAAGCTATAATATGAAGTTGGCTTGCTCTGAAATTTGAATCTCGAAAACTGAAATGTTCACCTAGATAGCAAAAGAATGAGTGTATGTATCCACAAAGCTTCAGTGTATGGATGTGTATTGATTTGGTAACTGTTAATTTTTATATTCTATGTAGCATCCATTGAGAGCGGAACTCAGGATAACAGCTGAAGGAAGAAACTTTATTGTGGATGTTGAAAAAAATGAGTAAGTACTTGAAATCTCGATGTCATAAAGGAAAACAGTGCTTCACACCGAATCTCCAAAAATTGCTTTGGGGCACAAATGTAGCATGTCCCCATAATACTTTGAAGTAGCTGTTTACTTCTTCCAGGATCGCAGAGTGTTTTTTAAATTCATTAAGCAAAAACATGAAGGTCTTTTAGAGACTGAGTAACTAACCTAAAGGTTAAATATGTAACTGAGAAAGCTTTGGGAGGGGCTAGAATATTTTCTGTCAATAATAACATACATGTGATCTTTCACATTCCTCCTTTTCCTGAAGTTTCACTTACTTGTGCATTGGTAAATATTGCCTGGCTGCATTAAAATGGCAAAAAGACATGGTATTATTTATTACTGTAAAACAGCTTCAGTATTTGCATATCAAAGCAAAAAAAGTGCCATATCAAGTTCTCAGCAGTAAAAATTAGCATAAATTTTAGTATACTAAATGAAAATTAGCATTCACTTGTGTTCTTAAGAAACAAAGAAAGGTAAATAAAAAATATACATGCATTTGGGCAATGAGGGAATAGCATTAAAAGCATTTGGCCTAATCCTATTATGAAGTGTGCATCTAGCTGCCAAACTCCCTCCACAGACAGAAGTTTTCATCCTGTTTCCTAGTGATTTGGATCTACATCCTGGTATAAACATACTCTCTCACCATCTGGCCTTAAATTTCCAGCAATGTTTCTGAGTTGTATAAAGCAGTATAGGCAAAGACACTGATGCAGCAGAATTGGAAGAAGCAGAATTGGAAGAAGCAGAATCATTAGTAAAATTCAGCCACATATTAGCATGGAGGATAATGATATAACCATCAGATGCCTCCTGGGAATTAACAGTGCTATTGCCATGCAAAGCTTGCTCTCAATAGGCTAGCAAAACAGAATATATATCTTATCTTTACTTTCCCAGTGAGCTCATTATTCATCCAAATGTGCATGCATTTAATTTTGAAAGGGATTGAAAGAGACAAGGATAGGGATTCATAATTTTGTGTACTGTATGCACATAAGTCCTTTAAACTTAACCTTGTATAGATTTGAAGTGTTCTAAACATTAGCTATTTAGTTTTTTTCTAGTAGAAATTTATTTATATCCTACCTTCATTATTTTCTACATATAACTCAGGGCAACAAATGTATTCAACATACCTTTCCCCTCCTATTTTTTCCACAACAACAACTCTGTGAGGTTGGGCTGAGAGAGACTGACTGACCCAAGGTCACCAGGCTGGCTTTCATAGTTAAGGCAGGACTTGAACTCAAGGTCTCCTGCTTTCAAAGCTGGTGCCTTAACCACTAGACCAAAGTGGCTCATCCAAAACAAGAAGTTATTGAGTCCAGTGGCCATCATCCAGTTATTTCATTACCACTGACTTTATAATTTTAAGAAAATGAGTTAGGGGAAGAAGATTTTTTTTTAATGCAATGGTTGGAACATAGAAAAAAATCTGTAGAGTTCGTATATTATACCATAATAGTCTAAAAGTGAGGATACAAAGCCCAGCATCAGGCTAATCAAATAGATAGACTAGAGCCAGGCAACCTGACGGTAAATGGCCACATTTAATATTTGTAGAAATACACAAATTTAGGGCTGTAATAGGCAGGACAGTATTGTGCTCATGAAGTCAGCCAAAACTTTCCATTTTATTTCTGGATTGGAGGACTGACATTTTGAGATTCCTGTTGAAACAAAAAAAATCCCAATCAAAGAAAATTGCATTAAACTGTACTTAAACTACATATACTTTGCTGACGACTAGAGCTGAAATCCTATAAGCAGGGGGCAAATCCTGTCCAGAAGCTTGTTTAAGTATTAGGAAATGGCAAACTGTTGTGAAATTCTCCTTACCAGAGGATGTGCCTGATTTCAGCATCTGTTTAGAACAGGATGATCGCAATTGGTGTACCCCATGAACCAGGGACATTTATCTTCTGTATTTGGAGACCACTCCCAATCTGGCTGCCAGATTGGGAAGTTAAAACCTCTACAGCTAATGTATTATTTATTTAGCTGTTAAAAGTGAGCTATGAAAAAGCATTTTTCATGCTTTTTTAAAAAAAAACTTTGAAGTCATCTAAGTCCAAACATAATTTTGTTGGGATCCAAACAGTTGGAGCCAGGTGGGAGGAAAAAGGCACTCAACTGTCCTGTAGCCATGAAGCAAAGTCCCTGGTTCAATAATTGGGTTAAACACACAGACCTATGAATCCCTAGCAAGTCAAATGGCAGAGGATGCTCATACCCAGAGAGGACAATGCAGCACCTCCATCAATTAATTTGATAGCGTTCTCGAAAGTCCAAGGAATATAAGAATTGGCAGTAAAAAGAGGCAGGGACAACATATGAGGTAGGTCCAGCGCAGAATAGTAGCATTCTGGAAGGAGAACTTGGATTGCACTTTATTTGAGGATATACTGAGCACATTCTAACTAACATTAATTTACATTTGCCTTGATATTTCCAGTATTGTGTCAGTACAAAGCACATTTAATTCCACAGGAAGTTACTCTATTTACACACAATCTCTGAATTGATTCCCAAACACCCGGTGCACTCGATTTGTTTTTTAAAAATGGGTTGTTGAGATGTTTAAGTCCTGCAGCTGCAAAACAGAAAGCCCAAAGTAGAAGGATATCATGAGAGTTGGGGGATGGGGGATAACATTGGCCATTATTGTCAAAGAGTATCAGATGTTCACACATGTTTTCAAAGCATAATTTTATGGAAGGAAAGAAGAAAGAAAGAAACCAGTCCTTTTTGACTAAAGTTAATGAAGTCTTGAAGTTGTGGTAAAAACAAATGACAATGTTTTAAGTCTTTGTTTAATTAGAATTAATTGCTTTGGGTCAGCCCTGGCCATCTGTACAGGCCAATTGGGGACAAGTTCAGGAAGGAAAAGATAGGATGTTGGTTTAGTAATGGAGGCAGAAGCATTTTCAGGGGGTGGCAAGGGGGGGTTGGAGTGACACTGGTGGAATCACGTAAATTGATACGACGCTTTCCCCTTTTCTGATATATGTCATAATGTCAGCCACATTCCCAACAAGGGGGAGTTTACAGCTCAGTGCTGCTTTTTTCATTGTGACTAAGGCAACGAGAGATTGTAGACACAACTGAATGGTTGTGGTCAACATTTAAAAAATATTTATTCATTTATTTATTTATTTATTTATTTATACTTGTATGCTGCCCCTTCTCAAAGCCTCTAGGCAGCTAACAGCGAACACTTCTTTAAAAACAAACACCTAAATCAAAATACAGAAAGAACATTCATTGTAAAAACAAACAAACAAACAAACAAAGTACATGCCACAGAAACCACCAGCATATTGTAAAACACTCTCTTTCTGACTTATTGAAAGAAGTGAGTTTTAGCAAAATCCCATAAAACCAGGGGTGGGATTCTACCAGTTCGCACCTATTCGGTAGAACCTGTTGTTAACATTCTAAGCAGTTTGGAGAACCAGTTATTAGAAGAAATTACTGGCCTAATCCTGTAAGGAAGGCAGGAAGGAAACATTCTGGTGTTGCTTATAGAAACTGCCTCTCCATTAACCCTTTTTACATTTTGGCAGGACTAGACTTCCTGTCTCAGGAATGTCTCTGGAGTTTTTCCCCCCTCCTTTGCTGGTACTTTGCTTGTGTGGAGTGACCATTCAAAGTTACAATAGCACTGAAAAAAGTGACATGACCATTTTTCACGCTTACGACTGTTGCAGCATCTCCATAGTCATGAGAGGCCAGGCGAGGAGATGCGTGCCTCGATGTGAGTGATGCTGAGTTGGCCACGCCCAGACAGTAACATGACCACCAAGGCACGCCCACCAACTAAGCCATGCCCACAGAACCAGTTGTTAAAAAATTTGAATCCCACCCCTGCATAAAACATTATATTTCTGATAGGCCCAGGAGACTGTGAAACAGACCAACTCTACACTGGGAGGAAGTTCAAAAGAATTGCAGCACTAATGGATAAAGTCCACCTTTTTCTGACAGCAACGAGACCCTGGAGTTAGTTAATTTGTATGATCTGTTTGTACAAACAGATAAATACAGAAAAAAGCAATCCCTTAGATAATCAAGACTGGAGCCAAGTCGAGCTTTATACAGGTATCCATGAAATAGAATATTTGTAGCTCAGGGTTCAAATGAGAGGTTCTTGATGCTCCCTGAGTTTGGTTGTTTTCTTGCAGACGTTTTATTACCAACCTAGGTAACAACATCAGAGAGCATCAAGGACTCTTTATACAGGTGACAACCTATATATCATCCCTGGCAGCCCTTATAACCTGTATATCATCCCTGGCAATGAATGGAATTCCCAAAGCAGAGAGGAGCTTGAAGAGCAAGCAAACATCACTGTTTCAACTGCCACATTTTGTACTTTCAGCTTTCAAAGGCAGCCCTATCTTACTCTTACAGTATATCCTGAGGGTGATCAAAGTGTGGCTGACAGAGCCTCTCAATCCAATAATGATTGCAGCTGGTGTATCAGATATAACTGGGCAAAAGTCTTCATAGCCACCTCTGTCCCATGTTTGTCAAGCAGGAATTACGCGTCTAGGAGAATTTTCAAAGAGTGAGCCATCTTTGATTTGGGGAATATGATCTTATTCAGAGACAAAGATGGTGCTTCCCTGGAATATTAGGCCCACAAACTCAGAGCCACTCCATCATGAACTGATTACAGCTTGAGTCCATTTGTCTCCATTCAGCATCCATCAGCCTCCAGGCACTGGATCAACGCTTCTATCACATTGCTTGCTCAACATGGAGCTGAGATGTATACAGGAAGTGCTCAGCTTAGAATTGGCCATTTAATGACCATTCGAAGTCATGACATTTCTGGCCCTCAGAAAATGTCACACTGGCCCTCCCACCCCTCTCCTGCAGTCATATGATGTCCCACATCCACATGACCACAATTTGTGACATTTTTTGTTGGCAAAAAAATACCCTTTTGGGAGGAT